TAGTTGATTTTGTATTTGTCACGCCATTGGTTAAAGAATTATTTGTCAATTGGTTGGAAGACTAATTGCATATTTAGCCGATATCGATAGCGACGTCTAATCAAAGATGTCAAGGGAAATAACATCTACGGTAAATTATTTTTTGTTCCTTATTTTAATCTTAAATTTCAATTTCAAATGATCGTTTTGAAAACATTGACACAAAAAAAAAATAATGTAATTTTTTTTTCAATATTTCATGTAGGATATGAAGGAGTATGTCCTTTTACTAGTTACATGTCACTGTAAATTTCATAAAAAATTTTAAACTGGTGCAGATAATTAACATTTGAATATTTGTTCTATGAAAAAAAAAGAATATTCGTTAAATATTTGCATGTTTGTTTATTATTACTTTGTAGATTGAGCTGTCATAAAATTGGTTAAAAATATTTTTGAATTTCAATAAAGGCGCCTTCAATCGGCTGGAAGTTTTTTCAAAGCATTAAAAATATATATTTCTTAGTATCAATTTGTACGAAAAATTAAAAATAAATATAGCCTTAGGTACACAAACACAATTTGTATTAAGATATTAATTATGATACATGACAAAGCATTGGGCCCATTGTATATGGAAGGCAGGTCATGTATTCAGATTCAGCTGTTTTTCTAATTTTGCTTTATATTTTAATAATCTCAGAAAAATTAGTAAATATTGAATATTATTTATTAATTTTTTAGGTTTCTCTTCATATAGTTTTAACTGTACTGCATATGATTATTTTTATATTAAATATTCAATTGGTTCGGCATAATATAATGAAATATTTATGTTAACCAGCAAGTGTAAAATTAGGGAAAATAATTTATGTCCAACTTTAAAATGACAATGATGAACCTGCAGATTAATTAAATAAGTTTATTTTTGGCATTATGAATAATTTTTCTGTAACTGTAATTTTCTAACAAATCTTTTTCCCTAATAATTGAAGAATCTTATGAATTAATAACTTTTATGACAAGTGAATGTGAGGCTCAAAATGGCCAGATCCATTATTGACCAATTACGGCTGCCGCAGATATTTTACAATTATTTTTGATATTTTTGACCTAGGAAGTGGTTCTACTTTATTTTGGTTGATAAAATTATTAGGTCTTTTTATTACATTAAACTTAAAATGCATAATATTTTTCAAATTTATAAACAATATGTATTCTTATATTTAATGGAAGAAAAGTATCTTGAAATTACAAATATGATCCAATCCATACATAATTTCTTACTCACAAATTTTTTTTTCATACTACTAAGTCACAAGACCATTGGAAACCAATGCATGTTCTAAAATAACATAGACACAAATAAGTATTACGAAATCATTGTACTACGCATCATTTGTAATTTTAAAATAAAGTCAGTTATATTTATGGATGTATATTATATATTTCTAATATATATATATATATATATTATATTCCTCGATTTCACTACCCTAGATTAATTTTAATTTATATTGAGATATTTTTTAATTAATTAGTAAATAAATATTATAATGACCACTTTTACATATTTTTATGAAGGATATTCTGAGAAAAATAAAAATTGTATTATGTTATATATAAAAATCTAAGGATATAGTATTTATATTTCAATCAAATTAAATAAAAATTTCTGCATACATACAAAGCCTTGTATATAATTTTTTATTTTATTGGAAAATTTGTTAATCAAAATGTGACAAATATACTTTAAAAAAAAAGACACTTATATAACCATTCAATAACAAAATAAAATATGACTGTAAATATACTTTACAACAAATTAAATTGCGTAGTTAAAAAATGTGCTTGTTTTAAGGTTTTGTGCACCCATTAATTAGTTTGTTTTGATATATTGGGATGATATTAGGGTATTAGACAAATCTTAACCTACTTTTATTTACGCAACATGTAGCATCTTGGGATGATGTTTTACACACACACACATATTATCTCTGATCTTAATTATAAGAGCTAGTTGATTAATTTGAAGAGATTAAGAAAATAAATTAAGTTAATTATTTATAATAAATATGTGTTATCTTCCCTAAAATATCTTTACTAATCAAGTTTATTAGCTAGAACTATCATTATTAGAGGGACTATCTTGGAAAAAAATATAAATATGAAAGACAGTGAATTGTGGTCTTATAATTAGGATTAAAATAAAAGTCAGACAACATCTTAGGTTATGTTTGGTAGAAAGTATTGAAAATTAGGAGTAGGGATTGAAACTGGAATTAAGAAAATCTATTAAAAGAGTATATCATAAGAAATTCTTTGTTGTAAGAGATTAATCAAACCCATGTATATAGAATTAGAAAATACCATGAGAAAAAGTAATATTCTCCAATCTCACATCTATAGATTTGTCTAATCCTATATAACAAGTAATTACTCATATTAAAACTATTTTATTGAATTTTCTCAATTGCGATTTCAATCCCAATCCCTTATTTTCAATGCTCTGTACCAAACTATCAAGGACCAGAGTAGTATATTGTAGAGGAGTCGTGCACGCAGAGACATAGAGACCGGCCGTTGAAGAATGAATAATAAAATTTTTGGAAAATGAAGAAAGAGGGAATTGAAAAGGGGAAAAGGAGGGAGGTGAGAAAGAAAAGTGAGAAAGATGTCGGGGGAAGAGGGGCACCGTCATTTGACCGCCGTAAGGCACGTGCCAGAGCACGCCTAATAGGACCGGCGAATATGAGGATGATGTGGCTGATTTTACTCCAAATGATAAGCTTCTGTAGACTTCTCACGACATCCAGCAGCGAACCGCCACCTCGCCCGCGCTCTCAATGTTTTACCAGACCATTCATTTGATAAGAGGTGATAGGCTGTATTGTATGTACAAAAAGCAGAGACGTAATTAACACCAAGTGATTATTCACATTTAGTATTCTGATATTATTTTCTTGATTTATTTATTATTTTGATATTATATTTTTAGTTACATTTAATATGTTAATATTCAAAGTACTGGATGTACAAAAAAAAAAAAATTAGAATGTTGTATATATTATAAATAAAATAAGAATATTAAATGCACATGATAAATAATACTAGAATGCTAGAACCTGCTCCCTTTAGTTCATAATGTGTTGGTTAGAAAAAAATTATAGTTCAAAATATAAGAAGTTGTCAGGATGATCAATGTGATTTTTTTTTTTTAAATTTTTGCTCGTATTAATATAAGAGATAGAAGAAAGAGATGAGCAATAATAAAAACATGATACTACCTCTGGTTCTTAATATAAGATCCCGTTTGATTTTTATTTAGTCCTAAATATAAGACCCCAATTCATTTTGTCTCTCATATGTACTCAATTTTTTTCAAGATAGTCCTTCTAATAATTATAATTTTAGCCAATATACTTGATTAGTAAGGATATTTTAGAAAAGACAACACTTATTTATTACAAATAACTAACTTAACTTCTTTCCTTAATTTTTTTCAAATTAGTCAACTGGTTCTTATAATTAGGACTGGAGGTAGTATTAAAGGTAATTTTGTCATTTTTAAGGATAAAATGTAAAATTTTTATCATTCTAGGACAAAATTAATGACTAAATTTTTTTTTTTATGCTTAAAAAAAGTTAACCAAGTTTATATATCATAGACCAAGGACCATATCAATATGTTAATTAATAATGAGTTATGTTTGTTTGTTTGTGGGGGTCCGTGTGGGGCATGATGAGAGAGGGAGAGAAAAAGGGTAGGGTTGCGGAGTTAGTGCCACGGTTATTGCCTCAGCTTTTCAATACCAAACAAAACCCCGGTTGGTCCCAAATATCAACACGTACCCCACCTCCCGCCTCTCCCTTGGAAAATGACCCCTTCGCCACGTCACCACTATACGCACTCACCCTTTCGTTTCAAAAGCATCCGCTTCTAGTTGTTACACATTTTCACACTGTTCTCAAATTGTACTACCTCGGTCTTAAAACATTATAATATATTAATTTTGTTTTTATTTAATATACGTATTTTAAAAAAATAACTGTATACATTATAATATTACTTCCGGTTCTAATTATAAGATCTCGTTCTACAAACGAGATCTTATAATTAGAACAGGAGAGAGTAAATAAGCAACAAAATAATAAATTCATATTAAAAATTTAATAATATGACTTATAATTACAATCAAGAAAAACCTTTCTCTATTTTATACCAAAGGAGTATTAAAATTCTAGCTTTCGAAAGCATCAAATGTTTGAGAAGAAAATTTAGATTAAATCATTGGATCGTGTAATATATGGGCTTAAACTAGATCATACAGCCTATGAATCATATTTAAGATTTGAATTTTTTTCAGAAAAACAAAATGTGTGTTGGTGCGTTGGCCCAAATAGAACACCAAAGCTTAACCCAACCCCACTCATTTTGTAAATGGGCCAACTCGTATATTGGCATCTTGGCGGAGTAACATTTAATGCCAGTCACGACTGGTAAGGGAGTCGTGTTCCCTTAACCATCATCTCTGGGGTTCGATTCCTGGAGGGATGGGAATGGAGCAAGTGTGCCTGGGAGGGTCACCCCCATCATGGGCCTGACAGTACTCGAAGGATTAGTCATTGGGCTCGCTCTGATGGATACCCTGGTGCATACCAAAAAAAAAAAAAACATTAATGCCAGTCCAGTCAGATTCAATTCTCCTGTCTCCACCAACAGGAGTTGGATTTAACGAAAACAACTAACCCCCTACAACATATTAAACCAAAATTTGAATTCTGCTTTAAAAAAAATCTACATTTAGTATTCAATAGTATCTCAAATAGAATTATCTCGTATTGAAAGATATTTTGACCAAAAAAAAAACTCCCATCTCTCGGGTGTGCCCACACAACTGTTATAAATAATTAAATATTATTACTTCCAGCCCTAATTATAAGACTTTGTTTGTAAACTACAAATAAGGTCTTATAACTAGGACAAAACTAGTATTACTTATAATAAAGCAAACATCTAAGTAGCATTACAATAAACCCTTCACTCACATTACGTGGATATAGTAATCCGACTTACCCATTGATTTTAACCGTAACAAAGTCGAATTAGGATGGTTATGGCATTTAGAAGGCAGAAGCAAGGAGGAACTCTCAGATTTGGATTGGAATGATTCCAAGTTGAGTTTTTACAGTTGCAGACTCACCCTAACTTATGATGAATCATGTATCCATGAACTTGGCAATGAAGAACTGAATATTTGGAGAAGCATAATTTTCTCTCTTTTCCCAATCTTTTTCACACCACAGCCTCGAAAAACACCTAGTTTAAGTGTTTCTCGGCCTTCTTGCACAGCTCTTTTCCTTATGTCTGCCAATAAAGCAGCTCCTTCAGGAGTTTTCATGGTTTCTTTTCCCGCTTCAGACATCTCTGTATCGGCTTCTTCCTTTTCCGTCCCCTCGATTCGATCCTTCCCGTGCTTGCCGACATCAGGTCCATCTGCCTTCTTGCCAACAGAATCATCAGGACCACTGCTTCCCCACCATTTGTTTGAAGTAGTCGAAAGGCCTTCCGACGGAAAACCATACTTGAATTCATCTAATGCTGTCATTCCTTTGGTCAAGTTTGAGCTGACCACGTTGTGGGATGGCCTGGTTTCAATGTTCTTGCTTCCTTGTTGATGATGGGGATTGTGAAACACCGTTACACCCGATGCCTTTGACCTCGCATCATTTGGGTGTTGTAAAATACTGCAATTGAAGAACAGCCACCATTAAAAGTTTGATTAGTATGGATGTTCCATTGAGATTTGGTTCCCCCTCATTTTCAAAGGAAATTTCAAATTTGGAAAGAGAAAGGCATGGTATGTACAGAGCTCATATGTAATTGTAAAATGACGTCCGCTAATGAAGTTCTCTAAATCAAATCCTCTAGAGTCATACAATTATGTATTGAGACACATGCACGCACCCATACATGCACCGACAATGTGACTACACATAGGTACCATTTCCCTTCCTTGCAGCCATCATCTTTTCTTCCTCCACCTCGCTCTAAAGACACCAATGAAGCTATTTTTGTGGCTGCAAACGGTCCACCCTTCCACCGAAGGACGTTTACTGTTAAGTTCTGATGTATTAATGCCAGATGGCTAAATTTCCAGGTAACTTCTAATGCATATTTGGTATTTTTTTTTAACGTCATCTTATATTATTTCCTATGCTTTCTGGGACTTTCAAGAGACATGTGACAATTGATTTAATAAAAGACATTACAAACAATATACAACTCCCATAGAGGAAACAGTCCTTTTCCTATCGGTTGGAATAAGAAAAGACATTATTACGATCAAAATGGAAAAACAGAATACGAAGATCACATAAATCCTCTTATAACAGAGAAACGCCAGATTTAAGAAGAAAACAGAGTGAGGAAAATCAGACACAAGAAAAGGAGATTAATACAACCCATTAAGAGTTGGTTAATGAACACATTCCTGATATAAATAAAACTACAAATATTTAAAGAATGCATAGGTACTAGGGGATTTTGAAGCTTACCTTTTGTTATTGCCGCTTATCAATACCATTGTCACAGTTCTTAATATGAACAGACACGGTTCAACTCAGACCTGGAACATTAAAATTTGAAATAATATTTTCGTGAAGATTACACAAGACTTTATTATTAATAAAAGATACAGCATGTTCAAATTTTCAAAAGGTTGTTGGCGCAGTAAGAAATTTATAGAAGTTCCCACTCATAACAATATCATCATGAATATGCACTCAGGAGGGCTGCTGCAATGAACAAAATCGAGAAAGTTATCTAACAAAAGTAAAGAGCGAAGATATTGTTGTCATAAACAAATATAAGAATACAACATACGAAATGACTCGGTTTCATGGTTCTGCTTTGCCAAATTGTTGAGGAGAAAGCAGTACCAAACTCAAAGAACTTTCTTTCTCTCATCCTCTTTGCATCTGCCAGGGGCATTCCTAATCCTATTACCCAGATAGCAACTATTTGAACTGTTTTAATGTAAAATAAAATATTCAATTATCATTGTAATAACTTGATCACTTCTAACAAGGATATTAAAACTTGTTCAAGAAAGCATGATTAAGAAATAGAAATAAAATTGTTTAAAGAAAAAAAAAAATAAAACACCAGCACAATTGCAACAATACGAGAGCAAAAGGTTTTGCTCCTTGACTAGGAAAGTAAAGCGGAAAACGAAAGCAAATATAGCTCGATGACAGAGTGTTGGAAGATAATATAAGAATCAAGGGTTTAACCAGTTTTATAGAACAATAACGAAATATATTCACCAGAAATTTTAGTGAAATTTGATATTTTTGATGAAAGGAAAAATAAACACCACAAAACAAGGGGAAGAAGAAACTTGCCAACAATCCAAAGCAGCAAACTTGCTTCCAAGTAGTCAAAAATTGGATTGCAATGCCCTTTATGAACTCCATTTCAATCGCAAAATCTTAAGGGCACCACAACTTGAACAACAATCACAAAAATTCAAAACCAGATCACGAGGGCTTTCGAAGATTTCCAACAAAGAAATATCAGAGAATAGAAGGAAGCATCGTTGTGTAGATTACCTCTCAGATTTCAATTTGGATTGGAATTTGGAACAGTGCTTACTGCTTAGTCGTCCGGAATCCTGCACTCGAAAGCAAGAAATCAATATTCAGTGAGAGGAAATAAAGAGGGGGGAAAATGTGACTGCCCGGAAAAAAAAAATCTAAAAAAAAAATAACAGTTAAATTTTACAATTTTTTAAAAAAATTATTTTAAAAATATATTGTTATTTATTTTTTGACTGCAGTCATTTTTTTAAAAGTACAGTAACCAATATTAATTTAAAATTTTAAAATATAATTATAATTTTTTTTGGGATTTTTTTAAAAAAACTGAAAATCTATAAAAAAAAAATTTTTTTACTTCTTTTGTAATTGTATAGATAACGATGTCAAACCTGTGAGTTTAAGTAAACTTATAATAGAAATGTAAACTCATATCATAAAAAACTCATAAGAGTTTATCTTTATTAATAAATTAGTATTAAAAATATATAATTAAATAATCAAAATATAAAAAATGACAACAATTTTATTTAAATATATTTTAAATTAAAATAATTGAAATTAAATCTATCAACATTAACAATTTATTATGTCCAACAAAGAAAATTCTACGGAATATATAAAGTTCTAAACATAACTAAATCTAAAAATTTAGCACGGGTTTAAAAGTAAGTTGATACGATTTTGTAAATTAAAAATATAAAAAAAGTAAATTCGATTAGTAAACTCATAAATCGAAATGAGTTTACAGTTAACATGAGTTTAACAATAAGTCGACATGATTTTGCAAGTGAAAAATGTAAAAATGTTAAACTTATAGAGTCAACTCACGAATTTGATAATAATGTGGATAACTTACACCTCCAACTAGTTGGAAATTCAATTTTATTCTAAATATAAGATTTCAATATATTTTATTTACGATATTTATTTATTTTTTTCGAAGTAACCCTATGAGATTTTCATCAAGAATAGTTTTAATATATATAATTAATAAGAATATTTTAGCAAAAGAAAATATCGATTTATTATAACTAAATGACTTAACTAATTTTTTTAATTTTAATAAATCATCTAACTTTTGTATAAAAAACAGAGGGTGGTATTAAAAAAAATAAAAAAACAATAAAGATTGCAGGTAAAACATACATGATATAAATAAAGACTTGATGATGAATTGCAAGTTTTATTCTAGTCTCCGCCTAGGGAAAGACTTCACGCCTCAAGTTTGACATGATTTCGTTAAATTAAAAGTAGATGGTTCAATCTTGCAGGATGGCAGAAATGGATATGGAGGTGCTGTTTAGAGCAGTCATGACCAATGGCTAGTCAGATTCAGCTATAAACATACCTTTGTGCAACCAATGATTGCAGAACTACTTGGCATAATTCATGGTCTCCACCTTTGTTGGGACATATTGTCATATTGTGGTAGGGGAGGTTGAGAGAGAATACCAGGTCTTGCTTTGTATTGGTGGCCTTTTGTAAGGAACTCCGTCTTTGATTTTAAAAAAAAAATTATATGTATGTATCATTTTTTATCTATTTTTGACGTCACCTATATAATGTAAAAAATAAAGTTGCTAGTTGTTAGTATTTTTTAAATATTTATAGTGTTCTTTAGGTCTGAAATACTATCAATTTATCCCTACAATCTATTTATTAAAATAAATTATGTATCCAATTTTTATTGAGTCAATTAAAATTTAAAGAGGAGTTAATTAAAAACACCCACCAAAAAAAGATTACGCATACAATTTCAATTCAATCAATCATGTTAGGTTTAGAAACACTTTTAGTGGGTTTATTATTGAGTTACGGCAGAAACAGAAATATTGAAACTTACGAAAATAAGTTAACTAAGCAAACTAAATCCGTCTAATACAGGGTTTAGGTATAAATTTATTTCGAAACCTTTTACTTAAGAATATCAGGCGCTTAGAAAAGTTTAAATCCCTAACAATTTTACTCCATACCGTTAAAAATATTAATAGCCAATATTAATATTTTAATAGCAATGTTAGTTTTTTAACGATAGGATGTAAAATTGCTATAATTTAAAATTTTTGGGAAAATATTGAACCCAAAAAAAATTTCCAGGGTAGGGTAAAAGCTTTTGGAATAAATTTGCACCTTAACTCTACTGTATATTTAACTATTTAAGAATCAAGGATGAGTAGGAAAAGACGAAAGTACCCAAATGTAGAGCACCTAAGAAATGGTTGGAATGGGAGTAGGAATACCATGGCAATGACAATGCCTGAAAATTACATTTGGTAAATGATGGAATAGTGTTAACATTGGAAAATTTGCAGCAAATATTAGAAATATGATAAGATTACTATATACAATAGTACTACCGTTGTTGTTTACATATTTCTATCTCATTTTCTCTTTCATTCCACCTTACATTTCTCTTCATTTTTTTCCCAAAAATAATCCTTCTATCAAATGAAACATAACTTTCTATAGAGCATTGATAAGATTCGACTTTATATATACAGAGTAGATAAGTAGCCGAAGACTAACTCAGCTAACTTGTTGGCAAAAGGGGGTGAAAAACTCAGCTAGCTAATCAACCTCATGCTGATTTATCAGGGTCCTTCTCCTTCTTTCCGGCAAGAATCATTGAAATCTGTAGCCCTCTGCTGAATGCTTGATTGAACAACAACCTTGTTTGGAACTCTGATACAAATGGGAACCATGACAATACAGCAACAGGCATGAAGATGATGAATCCCATTACGTATTCATATGCTCTGGATAGCTCCTTCACTGAATCCCACACTACAGATTCCTTCAACAATCCCCTGCATGCTTGTGCAATCTTCACAGTTCAACAAGAAAACACACCTCAGTGGTTTGGAGTGCAAAACAGAAAAGTTATTTCCAAGTTTTGAGAATATTTAATTAAATCATAATATAACAAACCATGCGTTATTATTTCCAATTTATAAATAGCGCGACTCATTCCTTAGATTTCAGAGATATGTGTATAGTTACTTCATGTCAAAAGGTTCAAGGACAAAAGTGGCATGCAGACCTGGAAATGCTTCTTCTGAGAAAAATGCATTGTTCTCTAAGTTCTGTCCACACTACACCAGTTAAAAAGTTAATATTTAACTTCCAGTAATTTTTATTTCATCAGAGGTGAAGCCAATTACTTTCTAGAAGGCAGATGTTCCCCAGGAAAGGAACAACTATATCCCATGCAATGGTATTGCCCCTTGGCTTGGTTTGATCACAGGAAGCACATGCAATATAAAGCAATAAAACTTCAATTGGCCCAGGAGACATCGAAGATTAACTAGTTAAACATAAAAAGCAATAAGATATTCTTAGATAGTGCTTTGGGTAAGGTATAGATTTAACTCACCAGAATAATAGCCCATCCAGAGGGCATGAAGGCAAGGATTGCAGCAAATAGATCATTCATGGTGAGCCCACAGACCACAAATAATACAGTCATTACTGACATGAAGCCAAGAAAGAGAAGTGCCTTAAGAACACGAAACATGAGCTGAAAGTCTGTGCCGAATCTTTGTCTGCCCATGGATACCATCTGACAGCCACATCGGATTTATGAAAATAACAGCAGACCAAATGCAAATACGTATTAGACAAGTAAGAAAACCTCAGAACGCATAATGGCAGTTCTAAGTGCTTCTCTGATTAAAAAAGAAGGCCCTACTTTACATCTTAAATTTGAATTATGAGGATAATCATGTCCCAAATCAGTTTGCTTCTTCAATCACATTTTACATCACCTCAATACACAAATTCTCAGTTTTACATATTCCTTCATTCTATCAAATCAGATTTAACATTTCTTGATACAACCCTTTATGATCTCCGTGTTGAGGCACTGTCTATAACTGTGAAGTATATCATAAATGGGAAGATATAGGATAACGCAAAAAACAATAAAAGGACTTATTTGATATAAAAATGAAGCTTATAAATTCATGTGACGTTAAAAAATGATTAAAGGATCAAATTGATGTCATCGATCTTTTGGCCATGAACAAGCCAACTCGCTCATCTTTCAAATTTTACTCCACTTTGCATGAAGACTATGATTAGAGGTCTCAGACATTGGAAAGCAATTAGCTCTGATCTATAAATAGCATTTGCATACCTTCAAAACAACAAGAACAGCAACCAAAACAATCCAAGAAAGTCCAAAGACCTGTAAGGAAAAGTCCAAGTTGTGAGATGGAGCCATTTAAACCTAGCAGTTATTGATATGACTGAAGAACACATAATTGAGTTTTGTACCAGCAAACTTTTGCTGTGATGAGCTACATCCAGGTGGTAAATGATTCCATATTGGTACACAAAGAAGCGAAATGCAAGAATTATCTCAAGTACTTTTCCCCTGAAATGCGAGTATTTCAGGTGTTCATTTTCTTTATCCCACCAAGATTCCCAACTTTTGTCAGGTGGGATACCAATACCACCACGGTTCCCCATCCACCTCTTCCAATCTGACCAATCATCCACTGTTTTTTGCCAATCAAAGCCAGAGGGATTGAACAAAAAAGGAGCAAACAACCATGAAGTGGCCAAAAACCACATTGAGAATGTGACAAACATATAAACGTTTGAGCTACGATATGACATCTCGTAGACGTCACATACAATCAAAAGTAAGAGAATCTCCAGGCCCTTCACAAAATGACTTCTTGAGTACAACCTGTAGTTATCAGCAAATCTTGCATGGAATACAACAAACCCCCGACCAGTTGATCTGTATTTAGAGCCTCCATGCAAGAGAGTTCTTCCATAATAATGTGACTTGGTTCCTAGATGGAAGGTAAAGAAGACGGAGGCCTGCTGGAGCTGCATGATGATAAAATCACCCAAGGCTGTGCGAAAACCCTTCTCCAAGCCGGTTTCCATAACCATGGGTAGTACCAGCAGTAAGCCCAACTGAAAGACAGACTGGGTTGCCAAGGCCTTTTCAAGGGCTATGTTCTGAATCATGTTTGGACTCTGAAGTATTTGTCTTTCAACCCCACTCAAAGCCATGTATAAACGTCCATACAAGAACAAATAGACAATCCACACGCTCA